TTTATAAAGTGGGGAAATGCTTTTCATTAGGACATCTCCCGTGCAAGTTTTTCATTTCATTAGGACATCTCCCGTGCTTAGGACATCTCCTGCGCAAGTTTTCCATACTCACACTTGCATTACACTTGGATACGTATAGACGTGTAAGTCTTCATGTTCATGTTCAAGTGTAAGTGTGGAAGCGTAAGTGTTCAAGTGTACGCGTCGAAATGTCAGTGTTCAAGTGCAAGTGTGGAAGTGTCAGTGTGTGAGTGTAAGTGTAGAAGTGTCAGTGTTCAAGAGATTTTCCGGAAGAACCCTTCGCAATGCTTTCGGGAATTACTTCACTTCGAGAGATCCGCACCGTGACATGTCAATTCACTATAACAGGAAAGTCATGCACATAATCAGGCCGCGCTTTTTTTCCATAGCAAAATGTTGGTATTGTGAAACATACCGGCTTCATCTCATTGCACCTGTCATTTGCAAACAGAAAAAACACAGATCAGTTGGACACCTGAACCAGAGATCAAATGCTTTCAGCCGGGCAGTGTTCCCGCTGAACCAGAGATCTTTCATTTAAGCGAAATATGTTTATATCTACACATACAAACCGCATTAGCCACCAGTTTCAACCATCTGTTTGTGACCTGTGTGTGGCGTACTGTCAGCTGAGCAACCTACTCTCTGCACTCAACAGATGTGGCTGAAAGAACTGCTGAAAGCACACTCCTACACACTGTGCTCTCCTGTCCTGTCCTGCGCATTGATTCAGTGCCAATGTCCGCCCCATCTGCACGCCTGCCACACCCTCGCCATGCAGCCACCCTGTGCCATGACCTGGCGAACGTTCATTGTATTTTGACAAAAGGAATTTGAACCTTTACTACTTGTTCCCATAACTCGAATGGATATTTACCAGATTATTTACCTATTTGTCTGCCTACCTATCTATCTGTCTATCTGTCTATCTATCTAATCTAATCTAATCTGATCTATTCTAATCTAATCTAATCTATTCTAATCTTATCTAATCTGATCTAATCTTACGTATCTTTTCTTATCTTGTCGTATCCAATCCTATCTATCTATCTATCCATCCATCCATCTATCTATCTCCCTATATATATTGCAAGCTATCGTCCTGACTGTCAATCTATCGTCCTGACTGTCTACCAATCTATGATCATCATGAAGTCGTAAACTTCTTCTCTCCACATATCATTCTGTGGAATCCTGCCTCTGTACAGCGATCTCGCCCAAAGGTCGCCCGATTGCGCTCCCACACTTGTGTGTTCTGAAATGCTCACAAATAGCTGCCGCAGTTTATCGTGGACACATTTTGACTGCGTGATGTTGCCTAGCTTGCTCACTATCCAACGGTGTGCAATGCCACACGTTGCTAGTTACAGTTGTCTATACTCACATTTGCCTAGGCTCACACACGCACGTACTTGCTGTGTGGTGTATATCCTTGCTGTGTGATGTTGCCTGTGCCCCAAACCTGTTTAGAAACAGCTGCTCGCGCAAAAGAATCACAATTGCCAGATGCAAGCAGATGCACTTCGAGTGATCACCCCAACAAGACAGACACAGAGAACACACAGTAATCTACAGAGAGAGCTGGCGTTTGAGGTCCGGCGGGAACACTGCCAAGCGGAACTCGCGGTTGAGGTCCGGCGGGGAACGCTGCCAAGCAGAACTCGCGGCTGAGGTCTGGCGGGGAACACTGCCAGCCGGAGCTCGTGATTGAGGTCCGGCGGGGAACACT